TAAAATTAACTTGCAAATATTACAAATGTTTTTATTCCCCTATGAAATTTGTCTATTCAATTAAATGCAGACATACAGACATATATAAACATGCAGACAGATGTTACAATTCAAAACAATCGATATTCATAACACACAGGAACGAATAGAAATGTGGGCTGGCTAAATGTAATTGACAATAAAAAATAATTGTTAGTATCCCAACGTTTGAGTTTTTGGCAATTGTTCGATTGTTGGTGGCAGCTCGGCAACAATTGTTGGCCAAACACCAAATTGTTATGACTCTTCGTAAGCGTAATCGAAGTAATAAAATTCTATTGTATTTGGCAAGTTGTTGGCATTTACACGTCAACTTTGTCTACTTAAAGCCAAAATGTTGGCAATTATTCTCAACCGATTCTCCTCCCAATCGTCCTGTTGCAAATACCGCCATTCGCACGTCAATACAAAATATTGAATTGTGTTGTGAACTACTCGTACATCAAAAAGGTTGAATAGAAGGAATTGAAATTGTTGTGGCCAAACATTTCTTGTCTTATTTTCTCAGTTATTGTCCAAGTTGATCGATTGCAGACCAATTTTTATATCTGTTAGTTATTTGTTTTTCGGTCGATATGCCATTGTGTGTGGTTGTGTGTTTGCGGTTAGCCAATAATGTTTGTCAATTGCAGACATTTGTGGTATTTACTATTGTGTTTACAATCTTGACAGAATGAAAGAAGACAATGTACCGAGATGGTTATTGTTGACGTAAGCGACTATGTTCTGGAACCATTACCATTATATTATAAGTATACTGAAATAATGGAGAATTTAGAAAATATAAGATAATCAGAGGCCGTTTAACACACCTATGTTGATATTTTTATATGTGTGACCCAGAATCGGGGTTTTATATATACCTTATTCAATAATAACGAAGATAATTCACATTTGTGTTATAAGGCGATCATAGAAAAGATTTCCATGCGTAACGATCTTTTTCCGCTATACTATCTTCCACTTTATCTTTCCATCTTATTCTGGGCCTTCCCAGTAAACCAGTAAGCTCGTTTTTAAGCTATGCATCTTCATCCATTCGAAAGACATGGCCTAGCCAACGTAGTCGCTGCATACATCTGCCTATTTCAATGTCCGTGTATAGATGCTATTACACATCGTCGACGCAGATTGGCCCGTAGATCATTCGGAGATTTTGTTTTTTTCTCTAAAATACTCCAAAAGCTGCCTCATCTGCTTCAGATCCATACACCAGCACGTCATGTAGGAGGTCCTTTCCGATTTTAACTATTGAATTTGTTTCAATTAAAGTTATCCTGTATAGCCATATTAATTTTGCAGGATGCTGGCCTGGCTATAAACACCTTTTCATAGTCGACAAATATGAGTCGGCCTTTTCCATAATTTGGTGCAGAATTAAAATGTTGTCTATGGTGGTCTGAAGCCGCATTGGTATGGTCGTTTACACAGTACGCTGGATATCGCTTTATATAGGATGGGAAGAAAACTAATTTCTTTATAGTTGGTACATATCGTCTTGTATCCTTTATTTTGTGCATTGGAGACAGAATGCTGAGGTTCCAATTATTGGGCAAGCATTCCTCTAGCCAAACTAATCAGGTGGTGCTTGCTCCTGATTAGCATCAGGTCACCGATCTTGTACAATTCGACTTGTAACCCATCGGTAACTGCTGCTGTATTATTCTTCAGCCGATTGATTGCTATTCTGACATCATCTCTTATTGGTTCTGGGATATCTTCTCCACCGCCACTATTTGATACCAGAAACTTTGCATAATTCTCTATCTAGATCCTCAGCATGCTATCTGTATCTGTCACCAGGATTTCTTCTACATATCTTCAGGAAGATGTGCCTGCAACACCTCAGTAGCATCACGACACTTCTGATAGTACGATGGGTTTCTTTGTGGTTGTCTTGGGTATCCATGTGTTGCTTTTGCTGGTGTTTACAGGGAGTGGGTAATTCTTTGCCATTGTGCTCCAATATTTTCGGGACACGAAGTGCTTTCGTAAAGCAGGTGGGTAAGTTGAGCGGAGTAGGCTTCTGCTACCTGTTGTGTTTGCAGCTTTTCGACGTCGAGTTTCCCTGTGGTATTAGATCGCACCTTTGATGCTAATTAAAGACAAGTGCGAACCTTGGCTACTAAAAGGTAATGGTCGGAATCGACATTCGCTCCTCGGATCGATTATCTAAAACACTGAATGAATGCCTTCCGTATATCACAAAATGATCAATTTTATTTCTCGTTGCTTGATCAGGAGAAATTCAGGTGTCCTTGTGTATTCGAGATGCTTGAATATGGTGCTGCGAGGTACCACGTTTTTTGCTACCGCGAAATCAATCAGCCTCATGTCGTTGCGGATTTTTCTTCATGGAGGCTGAATTTTTCGACAGTGACAACAAAAATATTTTATTCCTTTACACCCTTCACCACACTATGGTACAGGGTATTATATCCTTGTGCATATGTTTGTAAAATGAAAAGGAAACGAGATAGACCCATGGTTCCTTTTGAGAATATGCATAGAATGACTTTCTGAGTCGATTTATGCATGTCCGTCTGCCCGTGTGTCCGTCTGTTGATATTAAATTGCAAACAAAGTACAGGTCGCATTTATAATTCGATTTGGATGAAGCATTAATTTGGCCCAAGGGCGAAGCCTGTTGAAATAGAAGAAAATCGGTTCAGATTTAGATAAAGCTTCCGTATATAGTTTCTTCCGATTTTATGTAAATGATGCACCAAAGTCCCTATATATCTTTCGATTTGCACGAAATTTTACACGGTGAACTGAGTTGAGTCTAGAATGTCATGTTTTAAGTTTCGAGTAAACCGGATCAGGTTTAGATCTATTTCCCATACCTATATTTTCGTCCGATTTAAGGTAAAAGTCCCTATAAAGTGTTCGATTTGCAAGAATTTTGGAACAGCACACTGAATTAAGTCGAGAATGAAGTGTGCTATATTTAGTCAAAATCGGTCCAGATTTAGATATAGCTCCCATATATAGTTTCGTCAGATTTTATGCAAATGGTGAACCAAAGTCCCTATATATCTTTCGATTTGCACGAATTTTTTGCATTGCGTACTGAATTAAGTCTAGAATGATGTGTGCTAAGATTCGTGAAAATCGGTTCAGATTTATATACAGCTCCCATATATTTTCGTACAATTTAAGGTAAAAGTCCCTCTAAATTGTTCGATTTGCATGAATTTTGGAACAGCGCACTGAATTAAGTCGAGAATGATGTGTGCTAAGTTTCTTGAAAATCGGTTCAGATAGAGATATAACTACCATATATATTTTCGTCCGATTTTATGTAAATGGTGCACCAAAGTCCCCATATATCTTTTCGATTTTCAATATGGCACAGTGTACTACATTAAGTTTCAAGAAAATCGGTTCAAATATAGATATAGCTCCCATATATATTTTCAGCCGATTTTATGTAAATGGCGTACCAATGTCCCTATATATCTTTCGATTTGCACGAAATTTGACACAGCGAACTGAATAAAGTCTAGAATGATATGTGATAAGTTTCATGGAAATCGGTTCAGATTTAGATATAGCTCTCATACATATTTTCGTCCGATTTTATGTTCATTTTGCACTAAAGATTCAAAGTTTGGCCGACTGTTAGGATACATATTTAGAAAATATCCAAAGTGGTGAAGGGTATCAAATAGTCGGCTCAGTCCGACTTTACTACCTTCCTTTCTGGTTTATATTAAAATAGTTATCTGATTTATTCCACGTTTTGGGTTTTGGGTTCTAAAACATTGTTCTAATAATTCCATCTGGGGAGGATATCGAGATAAAAAACAGAGAGTAAGGTTCGAGAATGAACAATATCTTCCCGCTAGCCCCCATATAATGATACATACCGATTTTCAATATTTTTAATATTTAGCGTAAAAGAAGGTACTATGATGAAAAAATTTTAGTTTCGAAATAGAGCTATATCAGTGCTCAATAAGGCATAGTACCTTATGATAACTACAAATGTTCGGTAATTTCTGCACGATGTAACCAATATTGGTCCTGCTTATGGTATAGCCTGCAGGGACGTGCTCATACAATTTTTTTCTGCAATGACAATTTTAATTTTGAACCAGCAGCTTCCACCCAACCCCCCGAAATAAAAACTGGATACGTTGATGATGGCCTCAGATAACTGTGCCCTCTAAATTGCAGTATTTTGGGGATATTCCACCCTACCATGCGTCGGCAATTTTGGTTCAGTTTTTTGTGTTTTTAGGAAAAATCTCCATTAAAATTTGCTGAAACTTGTATTTGGTGTACATAATGGTTTACATAAATCGGTTTGTAGAAATATCAGTATAGGTCCACTTTTTGAAATGTTCCCTATTTTTTTCTCTTCAAGTACCTGCCAGTATACCTATTGTGGAGGGTATCCAAAGTTCGACCCAGTCGAACTTAACGCTTTTTTCTCTTTTTAATAATTAAGTTGAAATATTTAATACACGGTCATCGGTACGTATGATGAATATATTACCAACGACAACACTCATACGCAATGCTGGATAGAAATCAAACCACAAATAAAGAAATTACCATAATAAAAAAATGGGAGATAAAATGTATCTCAATCACAATTAATATATAAATGAATTATACACAATTTTATTTTAAATAATATTTGCCAAAATATTATAATTTAAATGCAAAAGCGCGTAAATAAACTCCAAAGAAACATGGCCATAAATTTATAGGCATACGCAATAAATATTTACTAAATACATATTTAGGTACACATCCATACACATATAGTTCAGCAGAAAAAAATGTTATAAACAACAACATAAAAATATATTTATTTTTGCATATATTGGAGATATGTTAAGGCTCGACGACATACATTTTTATATGAAACATTTTTGACATAATTTGAATAACAAACATACGCTAACAAATTTCTCTTTCACTCCCTCTCTCCTCTCTCTTTTTTACAGCTACAATATTTTATTTATGATACTCACATATTTTCTACCCGTCATATCAATGACCGCTACCTACTCACGTGTCGGCTTGGAGTTATGGGGTTCCAAGGCCATTGGTGAATATACACCGCGCCAGGTGGAGAATGTCAAAAGTAAACGTCGTGTAAGTCAATGTTGAAACATATTTAAAATACATGGTAACAACAACAACACAACACCGAATTTGATCTCAAAATTTGAAAATGTGGTTCATATCCCCAAAAGTTTGTTGTTGTTGTTCCCTATCAAACATTCTAAGCTGCCATGGTATTTTTATTACCCTCATGTACCTCTTCTTCTTCCCATCTCATGATTGTCCTTTCATTCTGCATTTCAGGTGGTTAAAATGATGATGGTTGTGGTTTTAATATTTGTCGTCTGCTGGCTGCCGTTCCATGCATATTTCATTGTTACATCCTGTTATCCGGCCATTACTGAGACACCCTTTATACAGGAGGTATACCTGTTCATATATTGGCTGGCAATGAGTAATTCCATGTACAATCCGATTATATACTGTTGGATGAATTCGCGGTGAGTAGTAGTGAAATGAAAATGAACAAAACAAAAAAATCAATAACCATCATTTGCATCGACAGCGGCATCATAACCACCAACAGCACCAGTTTTAGAAGCAGTATTAGGAAATGCGGGGTGAACTCTTTTTGGCAAAAAATATTATTTCTCAGAATATTCGAACAGGATGTGTTGTCTGTAAACATTTTACTGCTAAAAGCATACTTTTATACACTTCGGTCTTGGTTTTCTTTTTGTTGTCTTTCCAAGCTCCCCCCAACCCTCTTCCTCCACATTATTGTTAGGTGCTTTTAAATACAGGCATTTATTAGCATAAATGTAGGGCATAACCATAATACACCTAACCCATTCTAGGCCAGCCACTCACATTTTTCCAAAACACTCTTCCCCCACTCCTCCCCTCTTCCCTTCAATCCTCCTCCATTTCCATAGTCTATAAATATATGTGTGAGTGATTGCAGATTGTTTAGATTGAGTTATTGTATTATTGTATATTATGTCTTTATTTATTGTATATTATGTCTTTGTGCATATGTTTGTAACAGGCAAAAGGAAACGAGATAGAGACATGGTTCCTTTTGAGAATATGCATAGAATCACTTTCTAAGTCGATTTGTGCATGTCCGTCCGTCCGTCTGTCTGTCCATGTTAAATTGTAAACAAAGTACAAGTCGCATTTATGATCCGAATTGGATGAAATTTGGCATAGGTCACTTATTCGGCCCAAGGACGAACCCTATTGAAATTGGGAAAAATCGGTTCAGGTTTAGATATAGCTCCCATATATATATTTAACCGATTTAATGTAAACGGTACCTATATATCTTTCGATATGCACGAAATTTGGTACAGCCTAATCATTTAGGTCTAGAATGATGTCTGCCAAGTTTCGTGAAAATCGGGCCAGATTTAGATATAGCTCCCATATATAGTTTCGTCCGATTTCAAGTAAATGGTGCACCAAAACCCCTATATATCTTTCGATTTGCACCAAATTTGGCATAACGTACTGAATTGATCCTAGAATTATGTCTGCCAAGTTTCGTGAAAATCGGTCCAGATTTAAATATAGCTCCCACATATAGTTTCGTCCGATTTCATGTAAATGGTGCACCAAAGTCCCTATATATCCTTCGATTTGCACGAAATTTGGCAAACGTACTGAATTGAGCCTAGAATGATGTCTGCCAAGTTTCGTGAAAATCGGTCCAGATTTAGATATAGCTCCCATATATAGTTTCGTCCGATTTCATGTAAATGCTACACCAAAGTCCCTATATATCCTTCGATTTGCACGAAATTTGGCATAACGTACTGAATTGAGTCTAAAATGATGTCTGTCAAGTTTCGTGAAAATAGGTCAAGATTTACATATAGCTCCCATATATAGTTTCGTCCGATTTCATGTAAATGGTGCACCAAAGTCCCTATATATCCTTCGATTTGCACGAAATTTTGCATAACGTACTGAATTGAGCCTAGAGTGATGTCTGCCAAGTTTCGATAAAATCAGTCCAGATTTCTATATAGCTCCCACATATAGTTTCGTCCGATTTCATGTAAATGTTGCACCAAAGTCCCTATATATCTTTCGTTTTGCACAAAATTTGGCATAACGTACTGAATTGAGCCTAGAGTGATGTCTGTGTTTCGTGAAAATCGGTCCAGATTTAAATATAGCTCCCTTTTATTATAGATTGATTTTAAGTAATTGACGCACCAAGGAACCAATAGGCTAATAGGAACAAAACGTTCTGAAATTAGTATAACCTAACCTGTGACAAGTTTGTTTGAAATCGCCTAATATTTGGATAGAGCTTCCATATATATTTTCGCCCGATTTCAAGTAAATTGGGCATCAAACTCCTCATGTTAGTCAGATTGACATCAAATTTGTGTGCATGTGGTTAAGGTTTCTTAAAATTTGGCTTCGTTCTGCAAGAAAGGAATCCGGTGAAATTCAACACATTTTCTCATCAATGTTATTGTAAAATGTTTGTAATAAAAAATAACACTTTTAGTTGATGTTGGGTTTTTTGTGGTGAAACTATTAGAGATGCGGAACTGTGGCCTTCAATGTAGGAAAATTGTTAAATATGAATTTTGAGATTTCTATCCTCCACCATGAGATGTCTGTTGAAATCACGATAGAGATTGCAATATTTAAGACATAGCTTTGAGTTTTGGTATTGTAAATGGGAAATATCGGCCAACGTTTTGGCATAGCAACCCTTTTAACGGCACCACCTCATTTCCATTTTTTTTCCAAAAATGTTAACTTATTTTACCAACAAATCATTATTCCGAGTTCCTGAAGGTGTAAAATATATTTCGTTATAAAAACATGTAGCCCCCATATAAATATTTCCTTCATTATACCCTACACAACTATTTTGTCAGGGTATTATAGGTTTGTGCACCCCCAAGAGTTTGTAACGCCGCGATCGTCATATCTCGACTAGCTGAATCGATCTAGACATGTATGTCCGTCCGTCCGTCTGTCCATTATAATTTGTAAACACGATACAGGCCACAGTTATGGACCAATCTTCACGAAATTTTGCATGTAGGATGGGTCCGCCCCAATGAAGACCAATATTTTTTGAAATGGGGATGAAATGGACGAAATACTTAATTTTTGTCGGGTTTTCTGGTCGCTCCAGAGGCCGCAATTATGGCCCAAACATCTCGAACTTTTACATGGAGAAGGCGATTGGGCCAATGCGGGTCAAATTGACCCTGACTTTTGTGTGAAAAATTTGTATTATATAGCTTATATATTTACTCCTGAAGGACATAGAGACGATAAATTGATAGTATATCCACGAGGAGTGGCTGGTCTTTAAGGTACCCCCCCCCCCCCATTCACGATTTTAGTTTTTCAAGATTTTCAATGGGCTGGTAAATCAATACCAATCCTTGTTAAGGTTCGTAACTTTGCACATATATATTTGTTGTTGTTTTTTTGTAATTAAAGAGAAGTCCTTATTTTTGATGGCGGGCATGATAACTCCTCACTGGAACATCGGAATCCGAAAATTCCAACGGTGTTAGAAAGAGTACATGTCTGGCTCTCGTATGAACTAGGATTATTGACATCGCTCTAAAATTAACAACATGGCGGACCTTTGAAAAAATATTTTTGGACAATCGCCGATTTTTCACCAAAGACCAAGTTAAAAAATAAGGAAGGTCTTCACCGATTGGCTTTGTCCTAGTTCATACGATAGCTATACACTCACAGAGAAACGTGTAAAAATGTGGAATCGATTGGGTTATTAGTTTTTGAGTTATCGTGCCAGCCATTCACAAAAGAGGAAAACGTGTTCAAAGTTTGAGAAGCCCTTTAGCCGACACAATAAATCGTCTATATCTTCAAGAGTTTTTGAGATTTTCACTTGAAATTTTGTAGAGACATTCTTGAATTAGTGTAGATTCGAACTAAATCAAAATAATTTTTTACCCCGAGAATGGGGGGCCTTAAATTGATACCAATTATATTGTCGTATGTACTCGGATGTGGAAGTTACACGTAAATATTTACAAGTGCTTACGTATTCCGATATTGTTTAGTAACCCACTACCACACTAGAGCAGATCGCTTTGAAATGGTCCATGAGGTTCCAGGTATGGTCAAGGAGAACGCCTATAATTTTCGTTGATGATCAATTAATAGTATTGGGATAAAGCGGACCAAAAACTTAATTTTTTGTGTTATTTCGAGTCGATCTATAGGCCACAATTGAAAGCCGAACATCACAAAACAACCCACGGTGAAGGGAGTATGGACAAGTAATTAGAAGGGCTGTACTGAATATTGGTAATATTTGGAAAATGTGTCAGTATAAGGTAGAGGTGATGTTGACCTTTAATCGGGCAAGAGAGTGCAACTTTAACGAAATATTACCTAGGCTCGGAATAAAAATCCGCAGAAAGTCGTAAAACCATTTTTGTAGAATTTTTTTTAGAATAGACACTTTAAAGGTCCTCGTTAGATATTTTGACGGTCCTGGGCGACTTTCTCCAATGAATCATATTTTGCAGACCATTTTCGATAACAATTGTTCCACGAAGTGACTGTAATTTGGTAAACCATGGTATTGGAGGGTGAAACCCACATTTTCATAAAATTTTCGATATAGATCCATGGTTTTACATAGATCTCATATGAAGTTCCGAACATTCTAGTTGTTCCAAACACTTAAGTTGTTAAATTTTTTCGCTTCCAGGAGCCTTCTGAAAAAAAACGTCTTTTTAGAAAACCATAGTTGGGTGTCTGTAGTTTGGTATTACATTATATCCATCACTTTTGTGCATATTTTTGTAACAGGCTAAAGGAAACGAGATAGATACATGGTTCCATTTGAGAATGTGCATACAATTACTTTTTAAGTCGATTTATGCTTGTCCGTCCGTCTGATCCATGATGGATCCTCTGTTGCGGGAGTTAGCTGCTTCTTTCAAGGTCTGTGCATATGCGGATGACTTGCTCATCATGATTGAAGGGGATAGTCGCCTTGAACTGGAAAATCGTGGTGAGCAAGCTATGCAGATTGTGCAGGCTTGGAGTGACCGAGTTGGAGTGGAGGTTGCTACAGATGCTGCTGAAAGGCAGGTTGGCACGCAGTCGTCCTCCCTGCATTCGAGCTGGTGAACGCGGCATAAGGTATTCGTGTACTGTTAAATATCTCGGGATAACGGTGTCAGAGCGTTTGAATTTTCTTCCACACTTCGATCGGTTGAAGGAGAAGCTGACAACGGTCGTTGGGACCATCAGGCGTGTTTTGCGGACTGATTGGAGCTTGAGTAGGCGTTCTGTGCGTATAATATATCGTGGGCTTTTTGTTGCCTGCGCAACTTATGGTACACCTATATGGTACAGAACTGCCTCTTCTGTCTTCGGGCAAAGGAAGCTCCTTTCGTGTCAGCGGGTCGTCATGTTAGCGTGCTTGCCAGTGTGTCGCACTGTTTCAACAGAGGCGTTGCAGGTGCTGCTT